GGAAACAGTAACAAGAGACAATTTGAAAGCCAAGAGAGACATGAGAACTAAGAATTCTTTGGGAAATAAGATGATTCATGTTTTTAAAGGTGAATTTAAGAAGACTGAATTTGAGAGTATGAGACAGGAAGTCACTTAATGGACCTAACAGGGGTTGATAAGACTATAACATCCGTAAAAGAAATGTAGTTGTATTTGAGAGGAACTGTGAGGAGCCAAGGTGGAACAATGGGAGGCTGGAGAGCAGCATGTTTTATGGTTTTGTGTTGTATTCTGTGGAAATAACTGGCAATGCAATTAAGAAGGTTGCCAAACTACACAATATGCTTGCTTTATTTTCTCTTTTAACGTTAATAATATTCCATTTCTTTTTCACCGTTTTTGAATCCCTAAAGTTTTGCATGCTCTGCAGTAACTGAAGAAATCGATATACATTGAAAAAGAATGGGACTAAAGTTCATAAAATGTTTTTATAATATAGGTTACTGGTATAATTTTAGTTCTCTGTACTAGCATAAGAAACCCACTTTCTTAAAGTAGACATTAGACTGATAACTTCAGACAAGAGATGGAGATAGTGGCTCAGTTCGCAAACTGGTAGCTCTTTTGTGTGGGTGGCATTGTACATACATTTCATAAACCTTTAGTTATCACCATGAGGAAATAACGTGGTAATGGTATTTCTCGTTGGTGGAAGACAGCATCTCTTCCATAGAATTAGTTGTACACATATAGGTAGTTACCCACCCTCTTCATCTACCCAGACTAGTTCACTTCTCCTACTTCTGAACTAAGTTTGTTTTCAAAACCAAATGTTCCAAGTCGCTTTAATTTACATAAACACTTAGCTACATTACTAGGTTTGTGTACTAATCATGGGAAGCATCAAAGACTAATTAGCTTTTGCCTCAAACGCTAGCAATTATCAGTATGTGGAGAAGAAAAGAAAGGGTTTAGGTCTACAGGGCCATATTAGTGATGGTAATGTTGACACTCGGTGGAACTGTATTATTATGATTATAGTTATATGTAGACTTTTAAGGCCAGAAGGAACCATTGTGATCTTGTATTCTGGTCACACATATAAGATAAGCCACAGACACCCCCCCCCCCCCTCGTAATCCCTATATTAAAGCCAGTTATTTATTTGTAGTATTTGGACTTTTCCACTTGAGAAATTGTAATTCAATTACTCAATTCAATAACTACAAAGAAATGTAGGTGTCCAAGTAACTATTTTTGCAGATTCCAGAAAATATTACAGCAAAATATTGTGTACTAACTAACTAGGATTAGCTTTCTTTTAGTGTTATTAGAATTTAGATTACTAAGAGATTATGATTACAATTAATCATACTACAGAACACAACTGGAAAAAAAGGGTTTTTTTAAATATACATTGAATCTACAAATGCCCACAGAGATGATGAAGCCAAAAAAGGAAATGGTTTCAGATAATTAAATAATCAAGTGTAGTACACATGTCAGTTGTACCTTTGGACTGGGTGTCATAACTTCCTTAGTGTACAAAGTTCAGGTCAGCTATATTAGTAAAGCACTGACAAATTCAGTTAAAGGTTTCCAGAGGCTATTCCACATGTTTATGATGCAGCTGCTGTGTCTGTAGCAGTTAACATAGACACCTTGTAATATGCTGAATTTTACATATCTTGCAAAGGTAACTTAGCCTCTTAGTTATAATATTTTGAACTGATAACTCTCAGATTAATTATTTCATATTCATTGTGATTTTTTTCATAAGAAATTGAAAATCTGATAGTGTGTGGGGATAGTCACACTTAACTATATCAACAAAATTAAATAAAAAAACCACAACTATATCAACAAAATTAAATAAAATAATAAAATAATAAACTAGTTCATGCTATTAAAATATATGTACAGTGGCTATTAATACTGTACTTGTTTTTCTTTCCATCATGATTTATATTTCTCATATGTTTGCTTCAGTAAAAATCACCTTGCAGTTACTATTTATAAGGACTCCTGAAATGGATTCCAAAGCTCGTTATAATTTAGTTTTATTACACTACCATCTAGTGGTGCAGTTGATATGTAGGAACTGAATACAAATTGTAGACAAAAGTAAGGTTTCTGTACTCATAAAAAATATTAAATGCCCTCAGAAGTTAACTCAGACTTTTGCCAGTAATTTGTCTGAGCAATTTCAGGTTTGAATAAAATACATGTACAAAATAATAATAGTTTTGAACACATTTTGAATACATTTATAAAGCAGATTCCAAAAAATCAGCCAAGGAAGATTGGAAGTTTGCCTAATTGGTCTGTTATTTTATTGACTAGCCTTGATGAAAAAGGAGGAGGGAAACATACCTCACAGATTGTTCATTGTCACATGCAGAATGACAGTTGTCTGTTTGGACTTTTTCAAAGGACCACTTGCACAGCAATGAGTGTTAGTCATAAAATTATAACCATGTGATTAAAGAAAAACTGTCAATTTGAATGGCAAGTTTGATTAAAATATGTGCCTACCAGAGTGACAGTAGTGCCTCCAGACTTTTGTGACTGAAGGACTCTAGCAAAAAAACCCGTCCATTTTGTACACATGGTAAATAGTTAACATCATCGGTAAGGCACTACTGGAGTGGCAATCAGCATGTCCCCCCAACCACTGCTTAAATTATTTTGTGATCCATAGTTATCAGTTCATAATTATTGTTTTTATTTTATAATCTAATGCAGTAAAAACGTTTTGTCCTCCGATACTGGTACTTAGGCTATACACAGACATTCAGTTGCTGCTGGCAGAGTTGCTGCTCTCACAGTAGAAACCATGAGTCTACAGATGTTCGGGATGTCAGCAAAAATGGCCATTCCAGAAGAAAGAAAAACCCAGGAACAACCAGGGTTAAATCGCTCTTGGGAATGTTTCTGTATACTTATCTTCTGAGAGAAGCTGCAGAACAGTCCTCCAGAATCCCAGTGTGCTTTGTTCCAAGCTCTCTCCCCTTACCATGGGTCCAGGGAGAAAGTCTGTCTTTGGACTGGACTTTAGTGTTCCAGCTGAGCAGGAAGCTGCTTCACAAGCTCACATTATGCTACAGTCTGGATCAGCTAATCGGGGCCACCCCATGCACTGCTGTTATCTTATGCCAGGCAGATTGGGGACCTGCAGAGCATGCTGAGATATGTATACAGGGGGCTGGTTGGGCAGTGGCTTGGCATTCAAACATCAGTTCAGGGGTCTCCAGATAAATTTTTCAGGCAGGAAAGCAAAACCAGGAGAATTCTTCCAGATAAACATCTTTTGAACATGTGTATTCAGCCTTTGTCTCCTGTTATCATAGAATATTTCTTCATTTGATCAAGACTGTTTGTCACCCTTTCAGTCATTTGGCCCCTTAATAATCTTCTGTACTGTACTTTATTAGTAGGTTATATCTGCTGCCAAAGATTATGTGAGGTAAGACATACTGTATGTAAGTAATCGCCTCTCTGTCAATTCAATATCAACATGTAGTCCTATTCCACCAACAGAAACGTTTCAAGAGCAAGTCCTTCTAGGAAAAATTAACATCTTAATTTACAAAGTTCAGAGCAATTATATGCTATTGCAATTTTTCAAATAAGTAGCCCAATAAAATTAAAATATAAACTTTATATTTTCATCCATTTAATTGTCTCTTAGGGCTGCATACGTGAAATTGTTGCTCTCTCTAGAAAGCTCTACTTAGATGTCAGTGCAAGTACACTTCTCGGCCTCTTGAAGGCTGAGATCTAGCGTGAGCTTCCGACATTAAAGCACTACAGTTTTCATCCTGTAAACTCTGGCAAGTAAACCAGACAGCAAAGGAGAACATTTTGCCCTACAAAAGAATACAGGAGGGAGTTTGTAGTGCATGACCATGGCAACTACTTGCATTTTCAGCTCACATATTGCATATGAACTGATATCGGTTGGAGAAGTTGGAGAGCATGAACTATGTTGTGCACCTACACTCTTGTATTTAGTCGTGAATGGGCTCCACATCTGTGCTACTGCAGTGTCTTGTGAGATGCAACTGCTGTATAGCACCTAATAGTGAATCAGTGTCATTCTTAATGTTATGGTTTCTTGGTTGTGTTATTTAGTAAAATGTCTTTATAACATTGGTACTTAATACTATTTTCAAAAAACAGCTTCTTTTTCAAAAGGTAATACATAGCATCACTGATATAACACATTGCATTCAGGTGCAATGACTTAGCATTCCCATTCCAGTCAGGACTAGCTTTGATAAACTGAACATCCTCATTCCAGCAGGGAACAGGTGTTTCAGGGATTTGGCATTCAATTCCATTGCCTGCTGTGCCTCTGATAACCCGTGTAATAACATCTCCGTGTCTAAGTTTTCTGTAGAACAGGTATGGTAAAATACCTATAGTACTTTACAGGGATATAAATAAAATAAATTAAAGGTTGGTGTGGATGTAGATGGAAATCTCAAGGTTTCAACAGGTGGTTATCTTCTATAAAAGGGTAGAAAAATAATCTATTTTAAAATGTCAGATTTGCAAAAATAATTAAAAAATCAAAGAATAAATGAATGCAAATATTATACAATAGGTGAAGTTTATAAATTTGAAGTTATCCATATGCCATGTTGTGAAAAAGACCCTGATAATGATTTATTTAAAATTAAACACCTGTAAGTCAAGTTTGATATTCGATTTCTTATGTAATTTTGGTCAGGGCTAGCTTTGAAGTTAAAGCTCTCCATTGGTGCAGCATGAATAAGTAATAATTCCTAGTGTGATTGTTTACATAAGCAAAAAGTTCATATTTTAGTGCACTGAGTCTTAGGATATTTTGGAGACATCCACTCACATACCTGCTTTATGTTTGTTTAACAATGTATATAATGCATTGATTCACAATATGGGGGATACTGCTCTAATCTAGAATACCTGAAGCTTATTGAAACAGAAAGCTTTGGTTTTTAACTTCTTACAAAAGGCTTTTTTTTCCTTTCCAGTTGGGAAGTTGTCAGTTCCAAATCGGACTACAGACCCCGAATAAATCAATGTATTGCTGAAGCACTGATGAATTTGTTTATATTTCTTGAAGAGATGTCACACTTCAAAGAGCAGAATCCTGGCAAGGTAAGTTCAGTAAATAAGATGAGTGATTTTATCCTGTTTTTATGAGAATCGGATGTATGTCTCACATACATGTCTTTGCAAACAACGATAAACAAATGTTCCTATGGTCTCTTCTTCAAAATAAAGATACCATGCTAGATTCTGTCTGCAACATCTTCTTGGACAGACAAAAGCTACGCCATGGGAAGATTTACAGCAGCAAGCCTCCTCCTCTTTTAACTCCTGGGCTCTCAACCCACTTTTACAATACCAGAATTGGGACTGGGACTATACACTATGTTGGAGTTCCCAGTAAAGGTGAAATCTGCTTCCTGTAGTAGACAGATTCATTCATTTACTGTTTTTAAAAATAGGAAAAATCTGTACCATTTCTAAGTGTATATAGGTATTTTCAGACTAATTGTGATTGAACTCAGAAATCATCACAGAAATATTATTTAAATACCATGGGCTATAAGGAGATCTTATCTGTTCTATAGACTATATTATTCTTCTGTTTATAAGTGTAGAGCAGGGGTGGCCAAAATATGGCCCACGGGCTGAATCTGGCCCACCAGGGTATTCTATCCAGCCTGCGAGGCCCCTAAAAAATTTAGAAAATTAATATTTTTCTGCTCCTGGCTGCCTGTCAAAGATGACAGGAGCCAGGGGCAGTAGAACCCAGGGGGAGCTGACAGCAGTACACAGCAGCCCAGGCCCGCCGCACCCCCAGCAATTTCCCTGCCTTCTTGCTTCCACACTGCTCCAGCACCACATGGCTCCTGGCTGCATTGCCAGACCTAGGAGTATGGGGCCACACTGGTGTGCGCGTGTGTTCATAGGGTGAGTCCCACACACACACACACACACATACAACCATACACGTGCACCTACACCCCCCCTTGCACTGCCATACACACAGACACACACACCCCCTTAACATACCCCAGCCACCCTCCCTCCCACAAACCCCATACCACCCACACCCCACATATCCACACACATACCCACATGCTCCCTCACTCCACCCCCACCCTTGTCCATCCCCCACAGACACACCCACACCCCACATACCCACATACCTACAGCTCCCCACAAACCTATACCCATGCCTGCCACACCCCTCCACAAAATACAAGAGTAAGACTTCATTTTAAGCTATTATAGCTTAAAATATCATCACCTCTATGTATACTGCACAAACATGTAAATTTTCAAAAATGTAATTTTGTACGTGAAATGTACTTTCAAAAAAGTATTTAAAAAAAGTTTTGAAATCAAATTAATGAATGTTGCAGATCAGGGGTTCTCAACCTTTTTTTAAAGAAGTGTGCCCCTTCTGTGGGTACCCCTTCCGCACTGTACTTCCAGGGACAGGGAGAGGGGGGAGAATGGCAAAGGTGAGGGGTTAGGGGGCGGGACTTCCAGTCACAAGATGGCGACCTGGGGGTGGGGCACCTGTCACCCCCCTCCACAATATACAAGAGTAAGACTTGATTTTAAGCTATTATATATCATCACCTCTACATACACTGCACAAATGCATGTAAATCAGGACAAAAATATTTTTTGAAATCAAATGTAATTAATAGCATTGCCTTTCTAGAGAATTGTTTCTATTGCACTGTTGTCAATATTGTCATGGGATTATGGATTCTGATCATCATTTCCAATGTGTTCTGTTGCCAGTTTTGCCTTCTAGTCTGCAGTGTATGTACATTTTTCACCGTCTTGGGAAGTTATGTTCCTGGAGTTGTACTGTCCTACTTTCTGTGTAAGTATAGTCTTTTCACCCATGTCTTGTGTGTGGTATGTTTGTAATGCAGTCTCACATACTGTGGGATGAATAGTGCAGTATATGGCTCTTGATCAATGATGTGCTTTATCTGGTTTCAGTTTACAAGTTTTTCAGCTTGTCAGCTAAAGTTGTAGCACAACACAGTTCAGCTGCATCATATCTAACACCAACCATAATAAAAAAACTTTGGTTGTTAGTAAAAAGTTTGCAGATAATCTGTTAAAAAAAAAATTCTTTTGTTGGCAACCCCACTTGACTGCAGGAATGGTTTTACACTCTGGTGCCCCCACTTCAGCAATCCCCTATTTATCCCAACATGCTGATGCCCCCAACAGTACCCCATACTATCCTGCTACGTACCCCCCAGCCTTACCACTGCTGGTCCTGGCCCCTGCCTCCCCTCCCTCTCTCTCTCTCTCTACCTGTCCTGGCACAGACCCTTGAAAGCAGGAACTCAGCAGTGTTACAGGCAGGTAATGGAACGTCACAGGAGCAACAGCTCTTGGCAGCAGGGGGAGAGATGAGGCATGTGTGGGAGGCTATGGAGGCGTCTGTGGGCTACAAAGCCGTCTGAGAATGCTCCCTATAGGATGCTGGTGGTGCTGCTCAATTCTGTCTGTCCAGTGCTTTACCTCCCACATTTTTATGCCCGGGGATCTTCAGTCAAGCTTCTGGTTGCTTTGTTTTTGGTTTGTTTGGTTTTTCTTTTACGGTCAGCTCCAATTTTTTTTACAGACAGGCATTTTTAACCTTGTTTTTCACAGACTATCTATAAATTTATGGTCAGTTGGCAACCCTGACTATGACCACAAACTCCCTTGTGATTGTGTTGCTTTCTCATAGAAGCCAATACTCTCAAAAACAGGTCAGAATGTGCTGTTCCCAATTTTTCACAGTACATTTTCCTTTCTCAGAAAGTGATGTCTTCAGATGCTGATGGTAGGTTTCAGTGGCAGACTGTCCTGTTACCATTACTACTTTCTTCAGATTTTGCTACCTGACACCTATATTATTTGCTGTATCCAAACAAGACATTTGTACACATGTTTGTACCGCAGCACTGGGCACTTTTAAAAGCACCAGGCACTGCGGCACATGCATTTGTATAAACAGCAAAATGCGTGTCAGTGATGAGAAAATGGTGTTGGCATGCTTTTGAACTAAAACACATCAAAGGTGTTTTAGTTCAAAGCGCACCACCATTTTCTCCACACTGACATGCATTTCGCCACTTATATATCTGCATGCGATGCAGTGCCATGCACGTCAACTCATGTGCGGACCAAACTCAATTAATCGAGTCTGCTCTGACACACTATCTCTGGCATGTTGCAGCACAAAAAAGTATGTGTATAAATGCCCGCAGTGTCCAAATACAATGGTGTATATGCTATTAGGACTTTTTATCTCAGATTCTGAGAGAAGGAAGAGTAAGGAGTTTGCCATTGTATGTGTACTGTCCGTACAGGGATAGTCAAGGTAGTTGAGACACATGATATCATGTAACAGAGCAGGAAATAGGGATCCCAGTCTTAAAAGTAGTCTAAATAATATCAGCTAGAATCCTAATCAGGGGGCATGGTCCATTGTGCTAGACATTATAGTTGGGAACTAGATAGAGAAGCTCCTTTGATGTGGACATTTACTGTTGCTTCAGTTTTATAAAACTTACTCCTCATTTTGATTAAATCTGTTGTAGAATCTTTATTCAGTACTTCAAGTAGAGATATTTAAATACAGCTTCTCTTTATATTGTCATTTTTATTGCAGTACTCTGTGCCTTTTTATGTCCTTTCTTCAAGTGCAATGAATTTGGGCAGAAAGTGTGCAGCAAAATTAAGTCAGTTCTGCTGAAACTGGATTTTGGAATTGGGGATTATATCAACCAAAAGAAAAGAGAACGATCTGGTAAGTAGCTAAAGTGGGGGTTATTAGAATTTTAGCTAAAAGATAGCAACCAGGTTTAGGCTGGACTAATAGTGTATATTAGGGTCAAAATAGGGTTAAAAATTACTCATGTAAAAAGAAACAAGGCAGGACTGATTTTGCTTATCATACTTGATTTTATAAGTTTGATTTTACTGGTTTGTAAATTCAGGAAACCTTCTAGTTGTGATGTATGAAACATAAGATATCTAGATTTTTTTGAACTTGGCATGTACTTCAAAGTGCGTGGGTTCTATTTACATCATTATACATGTAAAAACTAGCAGTTAGATCACAATTCTGACTCAGATTTCAGGACCTGTGAATTTATTCCCTGGAAAATCATGCTGCTGTGACTGGGTCACTTAACTTTTATGCCTGTATTTTTCCCATTGTGGTATATTGCCTGACTTAATTATTGATATCCTTTGGAATTAAGGACCTTACATGTGTTCATTATTTATTTTGCTATTAAGATGTTTACTAAGAGAGGAAGAACAAAAAGCTGTTACTGAAAACGAGAATATGACATGACATCCTTATTTCACATTTCTTTACCAATTTATTTAAGGCTTACAATGACTTAATGAGGGGGCATTATCTCCTTCAGAAGGACAATACAAGGGGATGAAATGTACAAAGGAACTTAAGTACCTAAAATATGACTTAGGCACCTCAGTTCAAAAAACCAATCTCTAATGCCACCAACCTGCTTAGGCACCCAGAAACTGTTACTTCTACATTTTTACAGAAAACCTAATGAGGTACTTAAAGTTTTGCTACTGCGCATGCCCTGAGGCACTGACATCTTGCTGAGTCAAGCACTTAGATGCGTCTCCCCCAACCTGAAGTTATTTTCAGTTCACAAACTAAGTGTCCAGACATTTAAATCCTGACGCAGTCCATCTAGTCAGTAACCACTTGACTGTATTCAGTTCAGTGCCCTGAAATAATTTAATTAAAAAATGTAGAGGGTGCCCACCTGTGTGCTTAAAAACAAGTGGTTAGGACATGTGCCTCAGGAGGTGGAACACATAGGTTCAGTTGCCTCCTCACCTGGACAGAGTTAAAACTCACATCACCCACCTCCCCTCCCAGGAGAGTGCACTGACCATTAATCTAGAAGCTAGGCTGAACTGACCCTTTCCACACAGCTTGTTGAAGTTGGGTCACTGTGTAAAAAGGGTTGCAAGACTCAGAAGTTTAGATGGGAAATTTAACAAAAGGGGAATATAAGTGTAATCCAAAGGAGAGTCCTGCATTCTTATCCCTGCTCCCAGCAGTGTTTATATTTTATCCAAAGACTCTAATGCCATAACCATCACCATCACCTCCCTTTATCCTCTTCTTTCTCCATGAAAGGAAAGAGGGAACCAGCCACCTGTACCCAAAGAGATGACTTGCTCGCCTAAGACTAGGCAGTTCCTTTCAAGTTGTGAATCACACGCTCCCTTCAGTATTTCTTGTTGGTTGGAATAGGTGTCACCCCCCTTTCTTCCCAAACGCATCCAAATTTGAGGTAGGGGAACGTAAGTTACCATACCTATGCCCCTTTGGAAACCTTGTCCAAAGAATTCTAGAAAACTGCTCAGGAAGGTGCACCAAGTAGTATAGAACCAGAAATAGAACCTGCAGTTGGTTACTGGAATCCAACCTCAGTATCCAAATCCACTTGTCTCTAACTAGACTAGAGAAAAGAAAAATTCACGTATTAGAATAAATACTCCAAATATTCCATAAGCATTTAAGAATTGCAGTTAGACAATCCCCACAAACTAATCAGAACTGTAATGGAAATGGGAAAGGAAATATTCTGATATAAAGAATTCCCGTCTCACTTGAGTTTCTTTCAAACATGTAGATTACAGCAGATTCCATCAGGCTTTAGGAAATAAATCTATTTCAGGGGGAAGAAAAGTTTCATATATAGATTTTCTTACTCTTGTCCTAACTGATTTTTTCATATATATTACATTTTAAAATTAAAATCAAGAAATAAGGGACGCATAACTTGTACCTTGAGCTTGCTGTGTGTACGCAGGAAGTTTGAAAATAAGTAAAAATGGCATTGAACGCATCACATATTTGTCAGCTCTTATGCTGGGCTCCAGTGCTTCTTCCAGTTAACTGCTTTTAATAAGAAAATGCGGTCAAATGAAGAGACTGAAATAAAGGCATGGGAAGAGGATAAGGCAAAATGTATGTTCACTCCTTATACTGTATTTACTCAAATCTAAGATGAACCTGAATTTAAGACAGCCCCCAATAATTAGATTCTATTTATGGACAATTTATAAACTTGGTAGGTTTTTTTCATACATAAATTCATAGATTGTTAGGGGCTGGAAGGGACCTTGCAGATCATTGGGTCTTGCCCCTCCGCTCTAGGCAGGAAGATAACTGGGGTCAGGTGACCCCAGCAAGGTGACCCTCTAGTCTCCTCTTAAAAACCTCCAGGGTAGATGAATGCACCACCTCTGGAGGGAGTTTATTCCACAGTCTGGACACCCTGACTGTGAAGAAGTTTTTCCTGGTATTAAGCATGAAGTGACCTTCCAGGAGTTTGTATCCATTGGTCCTGGTCTTCCCTGGGGATGCCCTAGTGAACAGTTGTTCACCGAGCTCCTGATGCACTCCTCTGGTATAGCGGTAAGCCACTATCAAGTCCCCTCTCAACCTTTTCTTCTTTAGGCTAAAGAGGCCCAGGTCCCTCAGCCTTTCCTCGTATGGCTTGCCTTGCAAGTCCCTGATCATACAGGTGGCTCTTTTCTGGACCCTCTCAAGTTTTTCCATGTCCTTATTGAAGTGCGGTGCCCAGAACTGGACACAGTACTCCAACTGTGGTCTCACCAGTGCTGAATACAGTGGGAGTATCACTTCCTTAGTTTTACATGAGATGCATCGGTTGATGCATGCCAGCATGTTGTTTGCTCTGCTGACCACCGCCTCACACTGACTGCTCATATTCACGCAATGGTCAATCATTACCTCTAGGTCCCTTTCAGCCGTGGTGCAAGTCCAGCTGTCACCACCAAGCCTGTATGCATGTTGAGGGTTGTTTGCCCCCAAATGAAGCACCTTACACTTGGAAGTGTTAAACTTCATCTGGTTCTGGTCTGCCCAACTCTCGAGCCTGTCCAGGTCCACCTGTATCTGCAACATATCTTTTGACGTGACCATACTGCCCCATAACTTGGTGTCATCCACGAACTTGGCCAGCGAGCTTTTCAGTGAAATCATCCAAATCATTGATAAAGATGTTGAAAAGCACCGGTCCAAGCATGGACCCCTGAGGGACACCACTGGCCACTTTGTGCCAGGATGACACAGACCTGTTCTCTGGGTCCTACCCTGTAGCCAGGTTCTCAACCACTGTACTGTCAAGCAGCTGAGCCCACAATCATCCAGTTTTCCCACAAGGATATTGTGGGATACTAGATCAGAAACCTTTTGGAAGTCTAGGTATATAACATCTACCATGTCTCCCGTGTCCAGGTGGCAAGAGACCTGGTCATAGAAGGAGATGCGATTGGTAAGACAAGACCTACCTGCGACAAAGCCATGCTGGCTGTTCTGCGAGCGTATCGCACATAGATTCTTTAATGAGCTTTTCCAGGATTTTCCCTGGGATGGAGGTTAGGCTGATTGACCTATAGTTGCCCGGGGCCTCCCTCTTCCACTTCTTGAAGATGGGCACAGTGCTGACCCTCTTCCAATCCTCAGGGATTTTCCCCTGTGCACCACAGGGGAAATTGTTATAATTTTTCAGGTATAGAATCTAATTATCAGAGGTTTGTCTTGAATTTTTCCACCTTCCACTACTACAACTGTGGGGTCAAGTAGCTCCCTTGCCCTTTGTCACCCCAACTTCTTTTCGAGGGGCAAATTTGAAACACAAAGGACCAAAACACACTGACCTTAAAATAAACTTACCTGTAGCAATTTGTGTATAGGCATATTACTCTGGGTACCTATAGACTTAGTTAATCCAGAATTGATGTATTTGACATTTTTGCAAACTGCTTTAAGCTTCAGCACAGGTACTTCATAAACACAGTTTTTAGCAGCGCTTTTGTACCTATGTATACTTAGTACTAATTATGCATATTAGTCTAAAGCCAAAACGCTTATGATTTATCATATGGTTCACTAAGCTGGGCCCCAGCAGAATCAAGAGTGTTTCAAGCCATGGTGACCTCATAGCCCAGCTCTATTCAGTATGTGTGCGCACTCCAGATACCTCCCCCACAAAGGATCCAAGTTCCCCACTTGTGACTGGAACTGGGTATTCTTGTCATGGGTCCTGGGATCCTCCAAAATGTTATTTGTGGGGAGGCATGGGGCCACCTAGTCTGGCTCAACCTCGTGGAGGGCGGGGCCACACCAGTCGCATGCAACAGGCCAACAGGGGATGACAGAGCCTCTCATCTTACATAGATGTTTAGTGATGTTTGCCAGATATTTAAGGCTGGTGAAGAAAAAGAAATCCTTGGAAACAGGAGAGAAAGGTGCAGCTTAGCTGTGGGAGTGAAGAGAAAGTTGAAATGTATGCAGTGTAGTAGTTCACCATGAGTTGCAAAGCAGTTAACACTGAGGGGGACTGAGCAACAGACTCTATATCTTATTCACTTTTAGAATAAAAGCACTAACTTATCCTTGTGGTAGGTTTCTGACTTACCTGGCATGGGAAACGCTATGTATCTGAGTTTAGGAAGGCAGTTTTCCTTTAGCGTTCCCAGGGATAGCTGTTCTTCTGGCGTGGTTTAGTATCCACCAAAGCGTTGGTCTTAAAGAATAGTGGCTATGTGCTTTATAGGTCAACTTTGAAGTTGGTTACCATTACAGAGCACTTGCTGCTTCTGGCAGCAACAGTTTAATAATAGACAGTGTATTTAATGAGGAGGTTTTCTTGTATACAAATTTAAGATGAGGGGCTTTTCCCCCCATGCTGACTGGGGGAAAAACTTCATCTTATATTTGAGTACGTGTAGTATATTGGGGACCAAAGAAAGAGTCTATCAGATTTACTAGACTTCTCTCAATAGCAATTTTAAGATAGGCGAAGTGAGTATAGGAAAAAAAAAATAACTAGTGCTAAGAATGGCGAAAATTCTGTGAATGAAGCCTAATATATCCAGAAAATGGCAGCCTTTAAACCATAGGAAAGCAGCCTATAATATACATTCCATTGTCTGTGTTAAATTGCTATGGTGTAGCCATCTTACCATGAGGTGGAAGGTGTAATTTTGAATAGCAGCTATTTGAATAGTTTCATTGGTAATAACCTATACTGGCAATATTGTTTCAGAGAGAAATATATGTTGTAAGAGTGCTTCCCAGAACAGCAAGCAGCAGAGGCTGTTGAAAGGAATACATTTAGCAAAGGCAGATAAGTGATCAGAGTGGCAGAGCAAAGGAATTTTGCCTTTCCAGCTATAGCAGCTACAGAAATTACTTTGATAAACATCCAGCCTCAAAATGAGCACGTTTACATCACTACACCTATTACATATATCATTCATGATGTCAATAAATGAAGCCGTTAACATTCCTGAATTATTTAAGGAGCTCATGCTGTTCAACAGAGGCCACAGAAAAGACTCATAAATGGATTGAGAGAACCATGTTATCCTGCAGTCAATCAGAAATGGATGTCATCAGGATAGGATGAAAAATAACAGACTACAAATTTATTTCTTTCAGAAGCAGCAAAAACAAAATCCACAGAAGATGAGAGTGAATTAGACATATCAGCTTTGTGTCCTAAGGTGATTTGTTTTCAGTCAGTTATTTGTATTTATTTTGTATTTTAAAGCATTAAGAGCATCAAGATTACTTGTTCTCTGAGTTCTCTACAAAACATTTTTGCCCCTTAATTTCAGACATGCTTTTATTAACCAAGAACCCAGTATCGCATCACATTCTAAAAGTGACTCATAATCTCCACCCTGAGGGCTTGACGCAGGGAATGCCTACATCATATAATGCAGTTGCCAATAAGCTTGTTTGTGTACTAGGAGCAACATTAGCACCACCTGAAGGAGTCAGGCTAATTAATGTGGATAATGCACTTCCAGTTCTTGTTCAGAACTAGCTCAGGTGTCTGAGCACATCTCAAGGCACTGCTTTGGGCTTTGTAGATGTGCCCCCCTGTAATTAACCCCACATGTGCCTACTGTCCCTCCAAATATTTGGGGCTAATTGGAGCCTTCACCTGGAAAACATGTTAATGACTGTATAATGACTGTACCACAGTTCCAGAGCAGCTGACACTTTCCTGTTTTGGTAGACTCTGCAAAATTAGCTGAAACCATTGTAGAGCAGATTCATTTTACTATTTGTGCTTTCCCTGTCTAATTTCAAAACATAAAGAGAAAAACATTTCTATAGAATGGACTGAGTATGAAAACGCCACATTTTATGCTTTTTTATATGTAGGTTAGTCCTGCAGTTGTTGCCAAAGAGCTATCAGTGTCTGACACAGATGTATCAGAGGTATCTTGGACTGATAATGGGACCTTTAATTTATCTGAAGGATACACTCCCCAGACAGACACATCTGATGGTATGTAATAGTTTTATTTAAGTATTTAATTGTAGTACTAGAAACTATGTAAAATAAATTTAGGGAATTTTAGGACATGGCATACATTTTCTTTTAAAACTATATTGATTATGAAAATGTTTTGCTGTAGGTTCATTTTTAATTTTTTAATTTTTTTTTACATTCTGTGGGTAAGAATCATCTCTGTCATATAACTTGGAGCCCTTCAGTGTATAACTTAAACTTAAGCAGCAGTGGTGATGTTGCATACTAAATAGGTCTAAACTACATACATGCCCGACAAATATACTCAGAGCCAGCCAGACTTCTCAGACAGAGTGAAATCTAGGTTAATCCTCTTGCTCTTTGGCTGAAAGTACTATGTGGATGTAAGAGGAAGAATGTGAAGGGGAAATACCATGAGGTGTTCAGCAACCAGTTAAAGAAAAGCTTTGATGGACTTCCAATATTGGAATCTTATTGGAAGAGATGGGCATCAATGAGCCAGAATGAGAAAGGAGGCTCTGAGTAGAGACCTTTAAAGACTATTCTCTCAAGGCCACATCCTGAGGTCCTGAGTCTTCACTCCATTTCATTCCATTGTTTTTTAAGCAGCCTCCCAGTGGGAATTTAAGTAAGGACTAAGTGAAAAAACAGTGTGGCCATATCTAGATGAGAGGAAATGTGTGTTTTCCAGATGACAAGTAGCAGCGGCACACTTTGTGCGCCGCTGCTGCTTGTCCCTCAGGA